GCATTGTTTAATAATGGGGAAGACAGAAATAAAGAGGCTTATATTTGGATTGAGGTGGGTACTTCATGTTCTGGTGTTTAATATTGAGCAGCAAGTGCCAGCTTTATTAATAAATTGCCCCACAGCCATCCTTCCCTTGGACTTCCAGGGAGTTCACATTTCCTGCTGCGGCACATGCCGCCACTTAAAAATGCTATAAATTGTTTCTATATATGATTCAATGGTTTCTCACTTCAGACCAGAATACTGAAAAGTAACAAATCTAGAACTGATCCGTTGCTATTTCTGGCCTAATGAAAAAGATGGTGTCATGAATAATTTTCAGCATGTTTTTTTTTTTAAATTTTATTTAAAGCATATTTTGCAGTACTCTCCAAAATACTAAAACTCCTTGCAAAAACCATCAAAAATTATATGATCATGTTCAGAGCTTGGTTTATTATTTTTCTTTTTGCATGTAGCTGAATATTTGTAGTTTGATGCATTAACATTTTTAATGTTAATACCTTAATAGTTTTACTTTTTTTAAAAAAAAATTCTAGCATTAGTAAATAAAAACAAAGCAGATGAAATACATTGAAGATATTGATTTATAATTGAAGTCTATCTCCTGGATTTTTATTGAAAATAATAAGTAGTAGCTGAAAGTTTTCCTGTGTCCCACCCAGTCTGCAGCCACTCAGACCCATGTAAACACACAGAGGCAAATAATGGTCTTTTATTTCTGATTTCTGCCATGATGCTTGTATAACAGACCCTGGGTGAACAGTTAGGGATTAAGGATCATAGTTGGAACATTGTCATTTTAGAAGTGTTGTGTGACTCTGTCATAATGGAGAATACCACATTTCTAGCTCATTTTATTGCATTCTTTTCATGCTTGATATCAGGGTCAGCCTTTAAATGAAAAAAATGATGAGATGGCTATAAGCCGAACATCCAGCAATCATCTCCCCATTATGCTAGATGGGATACATTGCAGATCTAAAGTTCACCATTCAAGAAATATGCGTTTGCTGATAAGAGTTTTAAAGAGGCTGTGCTTGGTGTCGCTCTGCCCAGTGCTCAGCTCATGCCCCAGACCTCTTCTTCATTACAGCCCTACTTTTCTGCAAGTGTCAACTTTCTCTCATGAGTTATTTAAAGCTATATTTTTAGTGACTTAATTCCCTTGCTTGTTTTTTCAGCTTTTTGTTTTGCCTGTTGAATAGGATATTGAGTTGGTGGAGGAAGATGAGTGTGGAAGTAGAACCTGTATTCCTTTTCAGCTGTTCTCTTGACAAATCCATTCTATTCACTTCTCACTCACTCACTCACTCACTCACTGAGAAAGAATATTGTGCCTTCTTAAGAATATGTGCCGGACTTTTGGATAGAGCAGTGAATTATGGTACTCAGCCTAGTGTCTGGAAGACTCATCTTCCTCTTGCCTCTGAAGAGCCTTGCTAATCCCCTTGCATTTGCCCCATTATATAATTAACAGTCAATCTACCTTGAGTTCTTTGCTATCCATTCAACATACTTGGACACCACTTCATTGAATTAGTTATACTAACTAGCTGCTGTGTCAAATAAGTCTTCCAGTTCCAGTGATTTGGCACCCAAAACATTTGCTTTTCCTTGGATGTTGAATAGTGGAATGGGGTTCTGAGTAAGTGGGCTTTGTTGTACACAGTCGAGCATGGGCCCAGGTTGAAGAGAGCTCATCCATATTCTGTCACATTGCCTTTCCATGTCCATACATACAGGGATTGTTATGGGCCAGCACCTAGAAGTCACCGATATCACCTTTCTTTTTTTCCATTGTCTGGAATGCAGGCTCACTGCTACTCTTAACTGTAGCAGAGCTGGGAAATGCAAGTGGTTGGGTCTCAAATGAAGGCTGATAAACGGGGTTAAAAGGGAATGATGAGTATGCCTTAGATAACTGTTTTTCTTTCTCTCACGCCAGTCTAGATAGAATCACTTGTCTTCCTTCAGTAATTGATTCTGTTTCAGAAATCTTTGGGGAGTTTAGATGGTAGGAAACATTCTATTTTCCTTTTACAATGTGTTGAGCATACTAAAAGGGAAGAAAACCAGATACCTGAACATTTTACTGCTACTACTGGAAACACTTTGATTTGAGAGCACTGCTCTACTATTTTTCAGTATTACTTTCCTCAACTGGTGAGTAAGTTTAGTAAGAAAGCTGCCCCTTCTTTCCATCCCTTGTCCAGGCACACTTACCAGGTGCACCCCCCATGTTCTGCGATGACTTGAACATGTCTGTGCTCCTTTAATTCCCTCATCCAGTTATTTATGGTTTAGGAGGAAAGGAGCCAGTGGGGCAGGAAGGACAAAGCTGGAAACCCCTGTAATGATAGAATTACACACGGACAGGACAAAGTGAAAGGCCACTCAGCTGCGTCTTGGGGATGAGGGAGACGTGGGGAATGCCACTTTCAGAGAAAGAAAGCTTGCTCTCCGTCTAAAGCTTTTTTAAAAATGACTCATGGTTACATCTTCTCTAACTAGACAATGAGCATTTCAAAGAAAAGAATCCTGTTTTTGAAGATTTCTAGAGTAGTATCAAGCTTACACTAGGTACCCAACAAATTGAATTGACTGACTGAAGATCTACATGAGTACCTTTGTAAACTTTATTTACCATACACTTGCATACATTATCTTATGCAGGGTTTACCACAGCTCTATGGCAGAGATAAACAGTCTTATTTTAGGCATCTAAGTACTTAACTGAAATTCTGAGAGGTTTGATATTTTGCCAGTGTCACACAGAGGTTAACAGAATAGATGCAGGTGTTCTGTTTCAATCTTGTGCATTTTTTCACTTTTGGAAGCAGGCATTTCAATGTTAAGAATGGTGCTGTGTGTACCAGGCTCTGCTGACTCCTCATGGGAGGCGTTACCTTCTTATAGGAGGGAATGAGGGGTAGGTTGGAGGGGTAGAAGGAGGGAAGAGGGGGACCTATGATTGGTGTGTAAAATGAATAAAAAGATTCTTAATTAAAAAAAAAAAAGAATGGTGCTGTGAAATTTCCAGCCTGTGCTTTGGGGGCTGGAGAACATCAGATCACTTAGCTGAGCGATGCAGGACTTCATATACAGCGAGTGAGTGGAGAGAGGGCTCTTTTTAATAGAAGCAAACAGGTGGCTTTTCTAGAATTGTTTAAAATGCTATGTATCTGCCAGCTCTGTATTTTGTACTCAGGAGGTTCTCTGTAAGTCTTTAACTAATTGAAGTGATTTCAAATATGTACATTACATTTAGTTAAATTGGGCAAGCTTCCTGTTAGAGACTGTCATAAGTTCTTAAATCTTTGTAATCATCGTGTCTCAAAATTTGCCTGTGGTGTACTCTAAGCCAGGATTTTTTTTTTTTAATTCAAGGAATTTATAGCACATTACCTTGATTTCTGGTTTTTCTGTTTTCTGCTATGGCTTTCCCATATTTATCGAGCCGTAAGGACATTGGTCTTTTCTGTGGAAATGTGATGACCTGATGGCCAATCTGTTAAAGTTCCACCTGACTAAGGGTCACAGCATTGATTGGAGAAGTTAAAATTGCACATTTCCACATGGCTATTTTGCGTTGTTTCCAACTTCCCTGTCTGAAGCCACCTGATCCTGGGTCCTCCACACACCTCTCCCCTCTCCTGTTGCCAGCTGCTCCCCATCTCTTTGGTGGCAGGCTCTAAGCCACAAAGCGCCCAGCCACTTCCTCCTTTCCTACTTGCTGTTCATCTAACTCATGCTGGCATCCTGCTGTTTACCTCAGAGATGTCTCTCGAGTCCTGGATTTGAGGTCCTATTTTAAATCCAGGTGCCCATCTTAATCTCCTTAGAGCTCTGAGATGATTGGAGAGTATTTACTGACAAATGAGCAACAGGACTGAGCTTAAAAATAAATAAATAAAACGTTTCCACATTAGAAGTCGTATCTTCACTGAGCCGTGGGAGGATTTATTTCATCATCTTTGGAAACACCTGTGTTTTCCAAAACTCTGTATCCAGGAGACAGAGCAGGCAGTGGGAATCTTTGCCTGTGCATGGCACAGAGAAGGCGGTTGATAAATGAATAATGAATGGAGCTGAAGGGGTGGGGAGGGATAGATCGGCGATGGCAGGATGGTTCTGAATGCAGCGTCTAGTTTCTGCTTTTGCTTGACTGGAAATGTGTTTTTTTTCCTTTTGTTCTCTCTCTCTCTTTTCCAAGCTCAAGATGAAAGCCCAGAGCTAGAAAGATAGACAGACAGAACCACCTTCATGATTAGTCACTACTAGAGAGTGTCTTTATTGCCTCAGCCTACTAATGTGAATTTATGGGAAATCCAGATGTGCTTTAGAAAGTGTCTGTAATGGAAAAAAATCAGTAATAGCAACTGCTTGTTTAAAAGAAAGAAATGGGGGGCATAGGTGTCAGGCTTCAATCAAATATTTTTGCAAGAATATTCTACAGAGGTTCTTACATTAGTTTCTTATTCACTGATTGTCTTATTACTAATAAATTGTCCACAAAATTGTATTGGTAGCACTTAGTAGTTAAATGAGGTAATAATATCCATCCTGGGGGCTGGTGAGTTGACCCAGCAGGTTAAGTGCCTGCTGCACAAGCCTGGTGGGCTGAGTTTGATCCTGAGAACCCATCAAAAGGTGGAAGGGAGAGAACACGCTTAACAGAGTTGTTCTTTAACTTGCACGTACATGCCATGTCACGTTTACCTCCGCGCCGTTCACACCCATGCATACGATTAACAACAACAACAACATCAACGACCATAGTAAAGGCATTTTAAAATTTATTCTGAACTTTATCCTTCCACCACAGGCTAACGGAATCACAAATTTTAGGTTCCAAAGCTTCGAGGACTGAGTAGTGATGGTCAGGAAGTGTTTCCCACAGTGGCTTGTTCCGGCAAGTTGGCGGTATTCTTCCTTCCTCTTGTGACGGAAGTGAACGGTTACGTGACTGCTCACTTTCTGTTTCTATTTTACAGGGGAAAATGGTGAAAGGAATGGGAGGAGCTATGGATTTAGTGTCCAGTTCCAAGACCAAAGTGGTGGTCACCATGGAGCATTCGGCAAAGGTAACATGCTCTTTCCTCACAGTTCTGAAAAACTCACAGGCCTTTGAGCCCCGCTGTGCCCTGTCGTGTGACCGTGGTTTTTAGTTTTTCTCTGGCTTACTGAAGGTGATGGCACTTAGGTTTCAGTGGGAAGGAACACAGAAAGGTAGTAGTTTCTTACCTGGCCAGATGCTTGTTCAACTTTGAGGGCCTCCAGGTATCAGGGTGTTCTTGGAACATTTGTCTCGCATGCGCATCTGAAGTAAAGGCTTTGCTGTCCTCTGAAGTCAGTGGAAAGATGTTGGGGCAGATGTATTGGTTCCTGATTTAAGGTGATTATCGTTTTGGGCGTCACTGTGTTCGAATGAAAAGCCCAATAGCATGTTGGTTTTTAATAGCAGTTCTTTTCAGTTGGGCAGTCTGGCCTTACCAAGGCGGTGGCGTCCTTTCCAGAACATATGAGAGAATGATGGCTGTGCTGTGGTGATAGCAAACGTTCTCGTTCTGAACAGCATTATTTTTGACAAATTACCACAGAGTTATGGGGTGCCTACTAGATGCTAGGTGATCACAGCTTGGATTTGGCAATGACCCCCCCCCCCACGGAAGCCAAAACCACCGATCTAAGAGAGTTCATTTTCAGTCTTCCACCCCCTTTCATCCTATAATAAATAAAAGCAGCTAACATTTAGTGAGCTTTCACTGCATGCCAGCCATTCTGGTGTGTTTGTGTGTGTGCATGCCCATGAAGTGGATAACAGGTCTCTCTCTCTCTTTTTTTATTACATTTATTTGTTTTCTTATCCGTTGCGTGTTTGTGTGTACATGCATGCACCCCTGCCTCCACTTGCCACAACATGTGTGTAGAGGTCAGAGGACAACGTGCAGGAGTTGGTTCCGGTTCTGGTGATGAAGTTCAGGCTGTGAACCTTGAAAGCAAGCGCCTTGAAATCAAGCATCTTTACCCACTGAGCCATCTCACCGGCCTCTAAGAATAGTTTTTCCCTGCCTCCCTCCCCCCTCCCCCTCCCCCACTTCCCTTCTGTTTGTGTTTTGGTTCAGGAAGCAGAACTTTTGGAGTAGTAAAGTCACTTGCTTCAAGTCCTTCACTGCAGAGCCCAGTCTTCTAACAAATGGAGCCACTGTTATAAGTTGCTTACTTCTTAATGTCTTTGATGCTGTCCAGAACCCACTGATCTCTGATGATTTGTGAAGGTGGTATCGGGTGGTCTTGTTCCTCCCTTGGTACGGCCTTAGATTTTGCTTTATTAATCCTGTGAGGCTCACGAATCTGAGTGAAACGGTGGTGTGCGCGCCTGGCTTCATTTAGTGATGCACCCCCAGTGTAAGAGCATGGGGGCTAGATTTGCCCTTCACTTGCTGGCCGGGGGAGTTCTGTTGGTGCTGTGTGCTGCTGTGAATGCTGTCCTTGTGGACACTGCCCTAAGAATGGATTTGCATAGGTTGTTTGGGTAAACAGTGGGAAGTGAGCAGTGGGGCGTGAATGGGCATGAACGTGCGTGAATAGGAAGGGAACCAACACAGGTGACTGCTGTGAGAAGCCTTTGCACAGCATCCAAAATGTTCATTCCAGAGGCGGAAGAACACCAAGCTTCTAAGTCTCCTCTGGAACATAATGTCTCTTTGGAGGAAATTCCATCCAGCTCCCCTTTGGTTGTTACTTTAATGTTGACGCCTAGGCAATGGAGTCTGGCTTGTTTTGGATTATTTTTGTGTATTCATTTTCAAAACATTAGGCCTGTGTTTAACAAATTCACTCTCTATTTCTCTCTCGCTTTTTTTCTTCACCAAAGTCTTTTCTTCTCCTCAGCTGGAATTTCTGATAGAGGAGAATAAACGGTACTTCAAACTTGTGGCTGACTGAATCCCTGTTAAAGCTTGCCGTAGATGCAAGATCACATGCTCTCCCTTCCTCCTTCTGTTCTCAGTGAGACATGGGGTTGTTTCACACTCGAATTGGAGTGTTTGCCGCAGATACTTTCATTTGAACAAGCAACATAAAAATCTACTTGTGATTAATTTTTCTTTCCAGATAATTGGAGGAAGGGGTTGATTTGTTAGATAGTTTCATTCTGTAGTCCATGCTTGCCTGGAACTCACCCTGTAGCCAAAGTTAACCTCAAACTCGTGGAGTTCCTCCTGCCTCAGAGTATTGGGACTACAGGCATGAGCCACCATACACAGGTGTGATTAAAATAAGTATAAAGGACTCCTCACACACAACAGTTAGATAACTTCCAAATACTAATCAATAGAACACCTGTCCTCATATTTCATCTGTGGTCCTAGGATGTATGATTCTACTTGGGGCTGCTACTCTGAACTCACTGTGAATGGCACTATGTGAACCTTACCACTTCCTCCCTGAATCCTTTACTTGGGTAAAGGCTGAAAAGGGACAGGTGGGGGTTTCTTGTTTGTTGTTTTTGCTCTTTTGGGGGGGCTGCCACCCAGCTCCGAAATAAATTACACACAGAGGCTTATTCTTAATTATAAATGTTCAGCCTTAGCTTGGCTTGTTTCTTGCCAGCTTTCCTTAAATTATCCCAGCTACCTTTTGCCTCTGAGCTTTTCCCATTCTCTTACTTCTGTAAATCTTACTCTTACTCTGTGGTTTGCTATGTTGCTGGGTTGCTGGCCCCTGGAGTCCTCCTCCTTCTCTGGCTGCCTCCTCTCCTCCTCCTTCTGTATATTCTCTCTGTCTGCCAGCCCCACCTATTCTTTCTCCTGCCTTGCTATTGGCCATTCAGTTCTTTATTAGACCATCAGGTGTTTTAGACAGGCATAGCAACACAGGTTCACGGAGTTAAACAAATGCAACATAAACAAAGGTAACACATCTTAAAATAATATTCTACGATGGTTTCCCATCCCTGATAGCCCCCTCCAGTTAGTCACCTGTCCTTTCAGGCCTGCCTGGCACTTGCTGTATTAGATAACACACAGGCAGCCAAGTGAACTAAGCGTCCACGCACAGGTTTATCGATTCAGGGTGCAGAGCTCACAAAGGGATTCCAACACAAGAGAGAAACGTAATCTCGTATTCCTGAGTGGTACTTTTGTTTCCACAAGTGTCTGGACCTGCCCACCAGATTTTCATCTTTTCTCTTACTTATTCGCCTGTAGGATTACAGGTGCATTGGCTGACCTTCAAAGCATGTTTCTATTGTTTTAATAAGAACAAAGGAAACTTTTCGAAACTGGCTGCCTGCTGGTACTGCTCCTGCGTGCCTCCTTGCCCTCTGGCAATTTCTGGAGCCAACAGTTGGTGCAAACACCAGACTGGAATGTGGTTTTGGTTGAGGCTGAGACATAATGGCATCTCACTGTATAGCTAGTGCTTTTGTGTTGTCCATCCATCTTTCTTCATTTTTGAAAGTATAATATTTTTTTTTTTTTTTTTTGGTTTTTCGAGACAGGGTTTCTCTGTGTAGCTTTGCGCCTTTCCTGGAACTCACTTGGTAGCCCAGGCTGGCCTCGAACTCACAGAGATCCGCCTGGCTCTGCCTCCCAAGTGCTGGGATTAAAGGCGTGCACCACCACCGCCCGGCTAATATTTTTTAAAAGATTAGCTTGTGGAGAATTCCTTACATGCACGCCTTTCTTCTTTTTCATCTTTGGACCTAGTTCTTCCTCTGCCTCTTACAACTGGAAAGGGAAGCAGGAAGAGTTTGGGTCCTTAGCAGCTGGAGATGTGCCTAACATTGCACAGACTTAGTCTCACTTTCTCAGAGACCCTCTGAGTAAGTCCAGAATGTAGGCAGGCGACTGTCGGAAAGTGCCGGGGCTGGCAGTTTGATTCCATCTGTGCCAGCCTGTGTCCATCTCACTCTCACAGACGGTCTCACAGACCCAGATTTGTCTTTTCAGGTTTCAGAGAAACTCCTTGGCATCCCTTTTCCCTGACCATAGCTCCTTTTGCTCTGGTGAGAAAGCCATCGAGACCTTGAAAGAAAACCTGAGAAAGCAATCTCTCCGTTTTTATTTCCTTGGATTCTGTGTTATGATCTTTCCTCACTAGATACTTAGTACCCCAGCGGCAGATGGCATTTTATAACTTCTCCTGTATGCCACTAGGCTGGGCTCAGTGCTACTTGAACATTTATGATTTCTGGAATGTTTAAGTTATAATTTTAAAGATAAATCCAGTTACGGTATGCTGCCCTTGTCTTCATTCTGTCTATTTGCTAAAGGCCTTAAAAGTTGGGCTGAGTTACATTGCTACTCTGCCACCTTGGGCCCACAGATGTCTAATCTTCTCCTTTGTGAGTTCCCAGCAAGACATGGAGCTCCATCTCTGGTCCTCTGAGCCTTACATCCCCTATGCTATTCTTGGGTATTATTTAAAACATTTTTTTTTATACCAATCATTGTATTTCACCCAGTGGTTCCTGAAAGCCTTTGTCTCCAACTGGAATTCTCTGGTGAGCTCTAGAATTGTATTTCTAATTCCTGTTAGAGGATGCTCCCTGGATGTTCCAGAGCCAACTCAGCTATAACATGCTCCAAAATGAAATTATCTCCCTTTCCCTTAAACAGTCTCATCCTCTTTCTGCCTCAGCTAGAGAAATGCTGACCTCTCCACCCCTATCTGAACTGTTACCATGGTCTTCACCCCTACCTGAAATATCACTATGGTCCTCACCCCTGCCTGAACCGTCACCATGGTTCCATTCAGTTTGTACCCCATCTCCATAAACGTGGATCTGTACTGCTCCACAATCTTCTTGCTCTGTATTTTCCTTTCCCTACCCATATTTAGGTCCCTGGTGAAGTGTCCAAAAGGTCCTCCTCGTAATCAAGTACTTGGACCAAGGAGTTCCTCTTTAACATCTTGATACAGTCAACCCTGCCTGGGTTACCATAGCCTGCCTGCTTTTTACAGCTGCCCTGCCCCCAAGCCCCCTGCCTCATCCTTGTTTCCAGGATTTCAGTTCTGCTCCATGGTGTGGCTCCTGTCCTTGAGTGATCCTACTCTCCTGCCTTACCCTTTTGGTCTT